ATTTTATTTTTAAAGTGTAATATTTTATGTTTATACCGAGAATAATTGGAATTTATGAACTAAAAACCTTCGTCCTATTCACAATATACGCTACACTTAACGTAAAACTTTTTCACTCCTCTGGAACACCTCCATCAATCTCTACCAAAATTAAATCTTCGAAAATTATAAAAATCTATTAATGTTAATCCTATTCTCAATGATTATATAGTATTAACATATATAATAAAATACTTTTTTTTATTTTCTTAATTTTAATTTTTTTATTGAAATTAAATAAATTTACAATCTGGTATTAAAATAAATACAATAAGCAAATATGATAGTTATATAAACTTAACTGAGAGACATGGATCAGGGAAGCTATCAGTGATAGGACCCTTCATGGGAGTTTCAAAGTCGAACATTATGGTGGTTTTAATCTAAAAGATCACTACACCAACGTCTTTTAAGACGGCGAGCGGGGTTGCCGGGGGATTGAGACAGTGTGCTGGTTTGCGATTAAAGGATTTGGGTGTAGATGTAATTTGGAACGGAATCTTTTATAATGTTTTTAACTAAATTAATAACTGGTTCGAGATTTAAGTCTTTGTGAAGGGTGAAATTTGAAATAATCTATGGGGCGGAAGTGAAATAAAATACTTAACTACTGTTTGTTTTTTGAAAAGAAATTAATTAAATATACAAAAATGATTATAGATAAATATATAAAATATATTATATAAATATTTATAAATATGAAAATCAAATCATCGGAACAAATAAGATTGGTATTTTAGGTTTTGCAGATGATTTGAACATAGTTGGTGACGATGGAGAGAGCGTGGCACAGAGCACCGCAGCCCTCATTAACGAATCAAAAACCATAGGGCTGAATGCAAATGATAATAAAACCAAAGTGATGAAGCTATTACCAGAAAACAAACAGGTCTAAAATGTAGTGATTCAAGGGTAAGTATACATTTTAAAAAGTGCATTAATTTACATATCTGAGGGACACTATCAGTAATAATAATGACTGGTCCATTGAATTAAATAGCCGTATTATTAAGGCGGAAAATGCATCCTTTTCGTTGACTAAATACTTAAAATTTAAACTGTTTTCTAGTAAAACCAAAGTAAATCTCTACACAGTGATAATTAGGCCGACGCTAACATATGGATCCGAGGTATAGCCTTTGACAAGCAAAATGAAACAAAAACTCATGTCGTTCGAAAACAAGGTACTGAAAATTATCTGCGGCACAGTATATGACAATGACCTGGGATGTTGGCGTAGAAGGAAGAATAAAGAGACCCAAAAGTTTACAGGAATACCAAGGATAGCCAACTTTGTAAAGGCCCAAAGAATACAATGGTTTGAGCACGTAAGGAGAAGGTCTAACTCAGAGTACCTTAAAGCGGCGGCTGAATGAAACTCACAGGAAAAAGGCCAAAAGAACGTCCAAAGAAGCGATGGATAGATGGAGTAAAGCAGGACTTAGAGAAACTAGGGATACTAAATTGGGAAGAAAAAATACAAAATAGAGAGGAGTAAAATGCGGTATCGGTGGCGACAAAAACTCTCGAAGAATTGTAATACCAATGAAAAAGAAGAAGATATAAATATCAAAGATTGATATGAAATTATTTTATATTATATTCAGTGGCAGTGCGTCAGGGGAAAATTTGAGATAGCGTCTCCCCAATAATTATAGCATGGCAAAACAAAATTTTTCAAATATTTTCATATTTTTGTATGATCTATGTATGATACTTCTTTTGTTGACAATATTTCCTATACATATATATGTATGTGTGAATAAATATTCTTTCCATCGTGGTGCGCGTATGGTATGTATATGTGTATAGTATACATTGTATACGTATACGCTATAAGAAAATAGCATTACACTATTTTTAAAATCATCGCAACCGTAAAACGAATGAGACGATCGATCAACAGTCTTAATTCTAATATTATAGGTGGCTTATAACATTTCGGAGGGAGGAATTATAGCTATAATGGTTTATGTATGGAGTGTGTGAGACTAGTGTCAGTAGTTTTTGCCATCGGGCTATAGTGCAAGTAAGAATATAACTATATACAAACATAACAACGTATTGTAATTTGAAACACGAATAAAATATAAAAATTTTCAATATCTTATAATGATAAATAATATTTATAAATATTTCTCAATCGTGATAAAAAAAAATTATGCCAAAAAAGACTTAGTTTCCTGGTCCTCGGAGGTTAGAAGAAATATATGTCCTAACTTTAAACATTATTTATGTACTTACAAAAACCTAATTGGATATTATTAAAAACATTACACTTTCAATTATTAATAAAAATGAAAAGAAGTACCCTGAGGTCAAGAGACTACTCATGCAGGTAAATCAAAAAAATATTTATTATAATAAAAAAGAATAAACACTAATGCAATGAAATTTATAAATTTAGTGTATTAATAATTTAAATGAATATTAAATGAAGAAAAATGGATGTAAGTTATGGAAACATTTTATTTAAATATCCAAAACTACTTAATTATTGTTAGTTTTAAAAAAGTAACGGATTATATGAAAAAATAAAAAAAAATTAATAAACACAAATTTAATTAATTTTATGATGATTGCATTAATTATTCAAAAGAAAAACGACGTACCTGTATTTGTGGGTGTAAAGAGGTGTATTTTAGTCTCTCGTAAGTTCGTTTCACTCCGGATCGGCTCCTATATTTCGGCTGTATACTTTAATAAGTTAACAATGACAATATTTAAATAATCAAGTATGCTTTAAGATTTAAAAAAAAATTAATTATGATTTTATTTTTTTAAATTTTTTTTTTTATTTATATTATGAACTAAAAAGTGTAAGGAATGTAATTTGTGAAAATTAAAATATTTTACAAACGCAAATAGAATATGACAAGTAAAATTGGACATAGATTACCTGCCTCATCGTTGCTAACCGTCGTGGTTTGCCGCCAAAAAAATATTATTTAAATGTAAATAATTTTTATAAATGAGTACAAAAATTTATTTTAATTATAATATACACTACCCGGTAAAATACTAGGTTTGTTAAATTTGTAATATTTTTTATACACCCTCATTTTTGTTTTAAAACCATTTTTACCTAAACTATTAGATTATAGCGCATGATAGAATATAACTATGTACATATATAAAAATGTATTGTTGTTTGAAATACGGATAAAATATTAAAAATTTTCAATATCTTATAATGATAAATAATATTTATAACACTATTTATGTAATTACAAAATCATAATTAGATATTATTAAAAACATTATACTTTCAATTGTTAATAAAAAATGAAAAGAAGTATTCTTGAGTATAGATTAATTAAATAATAAATTATCTTCTTATATTTTTTCTTCTGTTTCAGTATTTATAGTGTTCGCTAAGTTTTCATCATTATTACACAGGGGTGGCTTCAGAACCTTGGTAAGGGGGGGGGGAGTTAACATTTTACAAAATCTTATAACAAAAAAAAAAACAACAATTTTTACAACACAAATTCAAGTCGTCTATTTTTAAAATTGGCAAAAATATTAATAATATGATTTATTTGATCTAGAATATCTACTGTATGATATACATTAAATAGACATAATGCTGAAAGTATATCTTCAGTTATCCTTAAACGGAGGCATGTTTTTGGTCTCTGAAGTGTAGAAAAACTCCTTTCAACTGTCATACCTCTATGGCTCTATCAATATACTTGTGCTTGCCGTATGATAGTCCATATTATAATATACATTTTTTTATTAATACGGTATGGGCTTGGGGGGTCGCGACTCCTAGGACCCCCCTGAAGCCGCCCCTGTTATTATAACTCATATATATTAAAGCGAGCTGAGTCGTAAAAATAGGCCACATTTGTCTAATCTATGTGTTTTGCGTTCACTACTTCGCTTGTATAATATATATTTACTATCATATTAAATGCAATTATTAAATTACGCTGTTCGACAGCCGTGAAAGCGAGAACGGCTAACTAAAAATAACTGATGTGGTTCTGTTATTTGCATTTACCTTTTAAGATACGCTGGTTGAGATATAGTACACGCGACATCTAACCCGTATCTCCAAATGTTTTAGTAAATTGTTAATCTATGCCGCAATAACCGGGTGTGTTGTGTGCGTAAAACACACAGGCTCAGGTGCCAGCCTATATAGGGCCCAATGATAATATTTAATAAATATGCAAGAAAATAAAACCATTTTTTAATAATAATTATTAATGGAGATTGAACAATAATTTATTGATTTTGTTTTGTACACATTATCGTACATCAACGTTTCTTTTGGAACCCGTATAATCAAAATTCAAAATAGTTTGGTTACAATTGATTACAGGTAATTTTTACCTGCAGAGTCCGATCGCAGGGAGGAGGAGTCGTTTATTTTATTTACACACGCGCCCAAATCAGTGTAGTTGTACACGTGGCCTAGCGATGAAAATCCATATCGGTGTGTAATGCAATAAATTTGTACTCAATTTCGGAATATCTCTCACGCCGACTCTAAAACAAGACATAAATATAATTTATATTTATGGAATATACTAATATCAAATATATGTAATTTTATAATAAGGCGCAGAATAGTATTAATTATCACACATCTACGTAATGGAAACCCCCTAAGAGCGGCTGATACAAGACGATGTCTTGATCGAGTTATAAATAAACCGTGATAATAATCTATACGATTTATATCGCTGTAGGTATATGTAGGTATAGGTTAATTGACGCATTAATAACGATCGTGTAAGAGGCCCCATTACAATTAAATAGTATACATATATATTATCGACTGCATTGTTCGCTGCTCTGCGTCCGATAATCAATAACGATTATTATACTATTATTTTATCGCCATTTGGCGGTCACGATTATTTGTTGATAAACGTGATAAAGGCACCCTAGACCGGAATCGTTAGTAGATTTTTGCTTATCTGCTGAGCCCGCGGTCGGTAGAGAGGGTAAGCCGTGTACTACCTGTACGTGAAACCGGACGCCAGTGTCGAGGGACTCGAGGATGGAAATTTTCGTTTAGTACTAAAATAGCCACCATCCAATTGTTCTGCTCAAATCAATAATTTTACCGACAGTTTTTCTTCAATACGTCACTTCCTACGCCCCTGTTATTAACATAATATACACGTACCCCAGTGTATTTTGCTTATCGAAATTGAAAATTTCCACATCATACCGGTAAGTTTAACTACGAATCGCAATAATAATAATAATAATAATAATACACGAGTACAAATCTATGTCGTCGTCGGTCACGATGGTTTTAAGACGATCGGCGGCGCCATGGGTTTTTGTACCTAACGCCATAGCAATGTTATTTTATCAAAATTCGTGTAGAAATTTAACCGCTATCTATACATGGATATGATATTATGTAAATAGTGAATATATTTATTATCAAACGAAATATTGTTGTAACTGTTATTTCCGGCGAGATATACATTTCTGGTAACTTGTACATTTATATTATGAAAATCTAGTTTGCTTTTTATTGTTTTATATAAGTCCTTACTAATGTGCGTTGTTTTATGTTATATTTGTAATATTCTGATTTGTATACCTATATAGTTAACGAGTGAAATGTATATGTACGTGGGTATAATTTGAATTATAAATAAAATAATTGTTAAACTATAGAAATATATTCATATCAATATGTAAATATTATAGTGACTGATATTTTTAAACAACGGGCTTCGAACGCCGTTTTTTACTTATTTTCTATCTACTGAAGTAATACATAAATTATCAAATAATTTTACTTAATTTATTTAATCAAAGGTAAAAAAAATGAACATTTCTGGGTGACCGATATATGATTATATAACACATTTAGAAGTGGATGTAGTATATGTATATATGTAAAACTTGCGTTTAATAAACTCGATTTTTATTTCACCTCTTAATGTGGATGTATATATTTTTATGAACCGTTAAAGTTTATATTTAAATTATGTATATAGGTAAACGAAGTCTATTTTTCTTGACCATTAATTTATTCAATGATTTTTACTCTCTATTGATTGCAACTTCACAGTTAACCTGGAAAAACCATAGAACTTTTCTATAGTTTATGAATATTATTTAAACTAACAAAAGTAATAATCTCCTTCAATTTATGTTTTATAATTTATTGTAAAGTACTATTCAATCCAAACTTTATAAATTAAATTAAACTGTTTAAATTAATTTAAATTTAACCTTCGAGTTCATTCTTTTTCCATTACGTAATTATATCTTTATTCTAATTCAAATATAATATTAGCCTCCCTTTGGTCGTAAATTTACAATGGTACGAGATATCTTACCATTTGATATACATTTTGTATTTTGTATTATATTAAAAGGAATTCATTGATGTATTTATATTAATTATTAAAATCATTATAAATTACATTATTGTTCTCAATAAATATGAATATAATCACGCTAGAAAATTATAGAAACATAATACCTTGATATTAATCAATGTACCTTTTCAAATTATATGTATTTAATTAAATAAATGATTGAATAAATATTAAATAAAATTTAAATAATATCTACGGTAAAATCGAATTTATTATATTTTATAATAAGCTTTTTTTATAATTTGTTGCGTTGAAAATATTTGAATACTTTAAACAATATTAAACCAGTAAATAAGAGTAACAAAATCTATATAAAAAAAAAACATTTACACTTACAATTAATACAGGTAACAATAGAAACAATTTGTTCTTAGTCATAAGTTTGATATCATGAACTAAATATTTGGGTTTTTTCGATTAATATTTTTAGTTAAATAATATATCTTGTTTTAAGTAAATTATTTACCCAAATTTAATAAATCGCCTATACTTGTGTCATTAATATTATATAATTGCATATGATTGATTCCCAAAATTGTTTTTAAAAAAATAACAATATTCTTGAAAATTTGTTGCTGTTAATTAATTATATTCGGTTATTAGATTCTTGAATTTTATTAATATACTAGAATTTTAAGTTTTTCTTATTTGTATACAATTTTAATAGTATTGTAAATGAAACCGAGCTCTATGATGATCATTACTATATATGTAACTATGTAAAATATATTTTTAATTTAAATCTTGCTTGTTATAAATTATTTATATAATATATAGAGAGTAATAATAAAAATTGCTTTCCAACATACATTTTTTTATTTGAATAATTTATTTCAAATACGATTACTATGATCACAAAAATATTAGTCGGACATTTAGGGAAAACCATATTTTATTGTTCACATTTGTACATATTTTCTGTAATAAGCTAGTTTTGTTTAATAAATCATTGGTTTATCTAATCTGATGTTAAATTGATTCAGTGATTAGCGAAAGGTAAATGTAGTAGACATTGTCGACCGTGTATTTATCATTGCGCATATTACCAGATTACAGAAACATTTGTCAGACTATTTTTAATACTATTATTGGTATTAATATAACCAAATTATATTATGATTTTTCCACAGCTTGGTTTTCTTTAATCGGTAGGTAATAGGTAATTGGCTCTTAGAACTAACGGATGAAAACTTCGAATTATAATTGTTGTCGGTTACGTGTAAACGAAAGGCAAAAAATTATGTTATTTCTGTCGGTCCGGAAACATAATTCGACCGATTCTTCTCCAAGAAAAAATACAAAAAAGATTTAAGTCGTTTCTTATTTCCCTCAGGCCATTAGGATGAGTGACCGTAGATTCGGATTCGCCAGCAGTCAATTATTCCAGCAGCATCAGCAACAGCAGCAGCAGCAAAACCGATGCACGCTGTGCTTGACGGAGGACGACAGGAACGGGCAGAACACGACGGTGGTGTGCCAGCACAACGCCAGCGTAGAGTCTGCGTTGCATTATCTGCGCAACTACGGGGCCTCGTACGGTTCGTCGCCGTACCAAACGCAGGACTTGTTGGGGACGACAAACAACTCCGCGGCGGTAGGACAATCGCTCGCATTCGGCGGCGGATGCTCGCCGCCCGTCTCCCCCAACTACTACACGCTGGCCGAATTCCTGTTGCGCATGAACCGCATGCAACAGGACAACGGCGGTGGCGGTGGCAACCATCATCACCATCAGGTGCGTCAACCGCCGCCGCTGCAGCCGCCGTCCGGCCGGCCGCACAAACTCAAGTCCGAGATGGGCTGTCTGCGCGAGTGCGCGTTCTGCAAGAGCAACGGCGAGACGGCCGAGTTCTACAAGTCGCACTTCCTCAAGGATCCGGTGGGCCGCGTCAGGTGCCCGATATTGCAACGGTACAACTGTGCATTGTCATGATAAATACATACGTCAGACCTTGATTTGTTGTTTTTTTAATCGATCAAGGCGATCTGATCTAGGTTTATGTGCAGATAGTGAAAATATGAGGGGAGGGCATCAAAAAAAAAACTAGGAAAGGGGTGGCACACGTCTGGTGCCTGTATGCCTAATGCTCAAGAAGTGAGCTGTGTGGCCCCACTGTAGCAAGGCGAGTAGAGCAATGACAAAGTTTGATTGATTTTAATGTTCGGTGTACGAGGAGGCTCCGAGGGATTTATCATATAGTACTGCCAACGAATCCTTTTTGTACCAACAATTCAAATTCTATAGTTTTCTATTTCGATTATTAATATTTTAATTTTAATTAAGTCGTAGTTTTTAATATTTTTGTATGATTTTATTAATTATTTATTTATTATTAGGTACCAGTGCCCATTTTGTTATGCAACTGGTGAAAACGCACATACAAGGCGTTACTGTCCAAAAAATCCGAACAAAATGTGCTTTATCAAAGGTGAACAAATTGTTAAACAAAACTTGCAGTGAAAATATAAATATTATTGTTATATATGTTTAGTAAATATATTATTAATTGTTTTAGAATCAATAATTATAGTAATTAATACAGTTTTATTTTATTAATGATTTTATGAATAGATAACTATAATTATATTTAAAAATAATTTTACTTAGTTTAACATGATATTATCAGTATAAATTTGAGTTTTATTTTCTGATCACTTGTTATTAGCAAATTGTTTTCATTGTTTTAATTTTGTTGAATTTGCATGAATGAAAATATTATTTAAAATATTAAAAATTATTAAACATCACATTTTACATTATTGCTTGTTATGATATATATAAATATATACATATAAATTGTTAAATTAATAAAAATTTGTAAAATCATAATAAAAAATTAATCAATTCAATTTATTTCTATCCTTTGTAAATTATATTATGTTACCAAAATTTATTCTGAAAATATTAATAAATGTATACATAATAACTATATTATAAAATGTTATTAGTTTTTTTTTAATTTACAGTCAACTAAACTCTTAGTGGTAAATAGTAAAGGTTGGTTCACAGTTAGTATGTATTGTGTTTATTATTGTAACATTTTGGGTGTATTTTTTAAAGTAAAAAATAAAATATTGTTATAAGAATTTTAGTTCCCCATCCTAATTCTATTTAATATAGTCTATTGGCAAAAAATAATTAACACCTAAGAATTAATTAATACATATATTATCAATGCTAATATTGACAGTTGAGTAAATTGATTTAAATTAGTAATTTGACTCATTGTTATCCATTTTATTGCACCAAAACTAATTTTCAAGCATTACCAAGTAATTGAGTACCATTTGAACATAATTAATTTACCTTTTTTTGTAATCAACTTATTTTATAAAGAACTAAGTCATTAAAAACCTGACTATCTTAATTTTGGATGATTTACTAATATTTCTACAAAAGCAGTAACTATACAATTACATACATACATGCATATAGATATGTCATAGAAATTATTTGAATTCTAGAACCACAATATTATTTGTACATTTAACTACATTATCATTACTCAATAATTATAAACTATATTTTAACATCTAGGTTTTTCTTAGGATTTTACTAATACAAACTGTAATAAAGAAAAAAATATATACAAAATTGTTTTTAAAATTTATAACATTCAAAGCAGATGTATCCAATTGTACAATATTGAGTAAAATTTATAAATATTCTCTAACAAAATACCATAGAGTAATAATATATATTTACTTGAGGGTTGTGGTTGCCATATGTCCCATACAATTTATTTGTATAATAGAAGTATAATATACTATTATAAATAATAGAATCTAATTACTATTTGGCCATTTCATCAAACTTTAAAAGGTTACAGGTCATAAGATAAAATTAAACACAATTAATCTTACCAATTGCCATGTTTATATAGTACCATTAGGTGTAATTTATTATAAATATTTTTTTTTTGAAACAACTACACTAAGTTGTTTTTATATTTTGTAAGATTGTTGGTTAAAAAAAGTATACAATATATTCTTGTACTAATTTTTATTCATTTAAACCATATTGACATAACTATTTATTAAAATAAATATATTATATAAAATAAAATATTTTGAAGGTAACTAATCAAAAAATGAAAAACATACATGCAGTCCAGAGCCCAAAACTGTTTCCACTCTTTAAAATTTAAGTTTATTTTTATTTATTAATAAAAATTCAACCAAGTTTTCTATTTTCTTGTACTATCAATGGATTTAATTTGGTAATACATTTTGTTTTAGATATAATGTTAATAGATTTTACCAGCTAATTGCAAAATATACCATACCCATGGAAGATTAACATCAATTAGATAGTCACTACAAATTATAATGCACCTTCATATAACATTGTCATCATTGCAGGAAATAAATTCCTAATGCTTTAAATATTTAGCTTCTTTTAACTGAAATAAAAAAGTAAATGAAAATAACACATACATTCAACTTCTGTCTACATTCCTTTCTCAAACTAATAATGATCCAAGTGTTATTAAATATTTCCAACAATTAAATATAGATATATATATTTATTTATTCTTGTACAAAATTAATTAAAAATATATATATATATAATCATTTAAGTATCACACAATTATTCTATTCACCAGGCACCGTCCAGTGCATCTCTTTTCCACATTTGTAAAGTTCTTCTAGTTTTGCTTGTAATGTTCCATCAGCTTCAAGTTTTTTGTAACATTGATACAACTGTAAAGCAGCCCGAGCATCTTCTACAGAGTCATGAGTAAGGGATTGAATTTTATTGCCTAAAAAATGCCATGCTAAAAATCGCAACGACACATTTCGTTGATGAGGAAGTCGAAATAAAGCTACCGTGTCAATTACTTGTTCAGGGGACACCATTAAGTTGATCATTCTATAAAAATGAAAAATTAAACATTTTGTAAACTTCTAAAATAAGCATCTTCAATAAAGCATTATGAAAACAAACCTAAAATCATTATATAAACCATGTCCAATAAACTTAATTCCATTGTCAACCAGATATCGCAATTTCATATATGTGGACTTAAGGGTGGTAAGATTTTTAGAACTTTTACTGATGTCTAAATCACCAGGGTTAATACCAGAAAATTTTGTTAAATAATCTACAACTTGCTCTTGAGTTGAAATATAATCATCTATAAAAGGCTTGCCTTCATGTTGACCTTCACTGTTACAACAAAAATATTGAAAATCAATTTTTTCTTTCTAAAAGTTTAAAAGTTAAATTTATTTACCCTCGAATACACGATATTCTTGCAACGGCCATTTGCACAGGTTTTATAGTAGCCAATCGACCATCACTTCTTAACTCTGACTCTTCTTGATTAAGAGTAACAAACTCTGCATCAATAGCTACTAATTCACCTAAATTAAATTAATTTATTAAAATGTATATTACATTTTATGTTTGGAAAATAATTAATAAAATTTACCCGATTTAGGAATTTGATCAGGTAAGATGACATCATTACTATTAGATGAAGAATTTAAACAAACACTTTCTGTGAAGACTTTTGCAGTAATAACTGGATTGCTAATTTCATTTTCAATATCAGAGGTAACTGTATTATTTCTAGACACCCAATATAATACACAAGGAACTTTCCAATCCAAACTGAACCAAACGGCTTCTTGTCCAATGACTGGAGAAACACTTACATCATTGAATATATACCACTGAGGTGATGGGTTACTAGCTGATATATGTTCATGATCTTTTTGTCCAACATTCACAATAGACACAAGATTTTTACGATCTTCATGTATATAACATACAACAGCATGTAAATCATAAATACTAGAAGATGATTTAGAATCTATTTCTTCATCATCATATTTAATTAATGTTAATTCTCCATCAGGTTGAAGGTCTGCTTTAATACGTAATGGTAGCCATGAATGAGAATAATATAATTGGGATAAGCTTATGGCACTATTTGTTTCTGGAACTAAATTAAACAATGAATAATCATAAATTTTCATTTATAAGGATAAAAAATTAAGAAATTCTAAGATTTTACCTGTTGGTGTTTGTCCAGGGTGCATAAACCGACAACTATGTCTGGTGCAATTGGTACCATACCGACAAGGTTTATTGAATGATGTTGGAGTACTTGGTGCTGTTTTTTGATCACCAGATTTTGTAACAGCCTGTTTTACCAAAATGTCCATTTGTTGTTGCCAAAAATCTTTATTCTGTGATATAAATGATAAAATGTTATAAAAAATGTTATTTCATATATAAGCTGTTTTTTTACTATCAGAAGAACAATAAAATAATTAGTTTAATTTTAATAACTCACACAATTATATTTAAATATTTTGTTCGGCATTTGACTAATATACATTTTTAATACTAATTTATTTTAATTTGTTATACAATTTTAATGGTTGCTGTGGTCTATAATTTGACCCTAGCATAAGCGTGTACAGACTTATATTTCAGGAGTGTATACAATATTTTTGGCCCCATATTAACAAAACATATAGGTATATTTAATATAATACTAATAATTATAATGTAGAAATAATTAAATAAACGTAACTTTAATTTTATATTTAATACTGTAGTATATTAGGCTCAATGATGTTTTCCTTAAAGCTCGTACATTTTTATCAAATAGCTTTAGTTATTTATTATTTGTACTTTAGCAGTCAATTGTAGCTGTAATATCATAATTTTTTGCACGAAAATTTAGAAAATTTTATTTTATTTTTTCTATTACGAATCATAATAATTTAAGTATTTTTTATTAAATATTTTAGAATAAATTACATAAACAATATCGGTTAAAATACAGACTCCTTACTCTTAAGTTGTTTGCATACATACCGGTTAAATCGGAATTGGAACGGGTGCTGATGCTGGATGCAATGTAACTGAGTCAGTGCTTTCACAAATTGACCTTACCGTCAAATTTATCAATCCGATAGACTAAGGATAGGTATATATAGTCGGCGGTGAATTTGATAATTTGAATGCTGGACCGATATTTTACTTATAAATTTTAATGTTTCCTTACACAAATGTAGTCACACAAGTCGGTAACAGGAAAACATATGATAAACTTTGATATTTACTTTAGTGTTGACATCAATTTCGTAGTATTTTATTTTATTTTATTATTTTCTTAAATTTTTGTACATCAAAATTAGTAAATTATTGTATGTCATTGTTACTAACTTAAAAAACAACTTTACTCAAATGAGTACAAAAACTGTTTAGCACCAAATTTTGGTTCCAATTACGGTTTCTTCATTGGGTATGATTGAAACTGACTCCCATTTTGATTTTATTGGTGTTTAAAATAACCATACTACTGGTGCAGACTCAGATTCCGATTTTACCAATATATGTGAAAACAGCCTTAGACTTAAATTGTTTGGCCTCGTTTATAACATTTCAGGGGGTGCCCGGGCACACCCCTATGAATGACCAAGGTAGCTATGTTTAAAATACATGATAATATTTTCTAATTTCTTGATTAATATATTACAGCTCAATACCACATAAATTGTTATATTATTATAACAAAAAACTATCACCTAGTACATTTTCTAGCATTAGTTATATATTACAATACATATTCAAAAATTCCAATTTGCTTTTTTTTCTTCATATAGTGGCTGCTCTTTCAATGAGAACAGAATCTTTATACCCAACAAGATTAGGTAATTTTAATCAAATTCAGTTTAGTTATAAACATAATAGATTTAAATTAAGCTAGAGAAAGTGTAGAGTGATAAAATGAATGCAAATGAAGAGTAATAAAAGTAAGAAATTATTTAAAAATTATAAATGGTTAATCAAATTAAAAGATACGTTGATCTCACGGTCAACACACAAAATATTTATTAAAATACAAATAATTCACATACAAAATGATTTTAAATTTTTTTATTAAGAAACAATAATTTTTTTAAAAATTAAAATTGACAACAGATTATGTCTGCCATTAAAACCAAAGATACTCAATAATAAATTAAAAACTCACTTGTTTACTTTCAATAGCGCAATTAACAGTTAAAATAGCTGGTAAAGATTTTAATGTTCTAGTCTGAAGAGTTTGTTGAAAACTTTCACAACGTTCACACCAAGTCATGGTAGTTTGTTTTGGACATATACTTTGCTGAAGTAAATCACAAAATGACATAGGTGTTTCTACAAAATGTGTTAGTATTAAGTATTTTCAAAATATAATTTATACTATTTAACTTTTTTTCATTATATACCATCAAGGGATTCTGGATACACTAAATTGCATACCATCAAATTGGACTGCTTACTAAACTCATGATTACACTTTAAACATTTATTTACATGAAGTTGTTTACAGCCAAATAATCTACTGATTTCAGTTTCATTGTTATCTTCTTCTTTATTTTTTATTTTTTTTCGAATTTGTTGTCCTCCAATACTAGGAAAATCAATATCTTTGAAAACAAATTTTCCTTGTTCATCAGTAAGACCTTTTTTTGATCTTAGAAACTCTAAATGAATTTGATGCAAAATAAATCGATTCCAGTTCTAATAAAAGTTAAAATAACAAAAATAACAATATTATTAATACTATCATAATATCAATTTAAATCTATAATTTATTTTAAAAACCCATAAAATGATACATTTTTTTTATATTGATTATTTGCATATATTTAAAGAAAAAAAACCAACAATAAGTAAATGTTAAATACAAATTATACAACATTGTTATTATAAATACTATATATACTATTTATAATCAACAATTCATCTAGTTGTTTTTTTGTAATAACTGAAGATACCGATTATTGTTTTGAGAGTAAAAAATTCAATAACAAATAACTTAGTAGTAAATTAATAAAAATAACAATAGATAGTGTAGTTATTTTGTATTTTACTATGATAAATACTAGTTTGATAAAATAATAAATTGTTCAATTTTACCTGAATTAATATGCTGATATTTATTTTATTTTTTAGTTCAGCATTATTATGCTCTGGTAATATAAGTCCTAGAGCTGTAGCATCATGAGCATTACGAAGTGCTCTCAAAAAATTTCCAGAGTGACAAGGTATTCCTTTTGATTTATTCATCATATGAAATAAAAATGACAATTCACAACTTAAACAAAATTCTTCTTGGCATAAATGAGACATTAAAATTTTACGCAATGGCTCTAAGAAATATAAGACCTGAAAAATTGTAAATAATGATTATTTAACTATATTGCACTATATACAGAAAAAATATTTGTACAAAACAAATATTGCCATTACATTATTTTATTATGATTTATTTAGATTTTTCATGATATAAATATTATGCTTTTTAATTTTAATATCATAATAAATTTATAAATTATTAATTACTTGGAGCATAGGATTGCAGTATGAATTTGGAACACTAGATTCCAAACCACTAAAGCCAGTTTTATTATATTGTTCGTAATCAAAATCTTCACTTTTGAACTTTAAATCAATTTTTCTGTATCTTCTTGGTATTGCTATAAATGTTGGGGATTCACATTCCTCGTCATTTGAATGATTATTGCTATTATTGTTAATATTAATACTATTACTAAGTTTTGATTCAGATACTGTATTAAAGTATGCTACCTAAAATGTATAGTAACAAAAATTATATAATAATGTTAAACTTAAAATATTTTTATCTTTTTTAGAACTAATAAGCTTAATTTAAATTTAAATTTAAAGCAATCATTATTATTTAATACATGAGTTACTTTAATTATTTTCGGATAATAATTTGAATACTACTCAAAATAATAATTTTACAACTTTATAGTACTTATTAAAATCTGATTTTTACATTTGATTTTAAATAATTATTATATGTTATATAGTATACACAATAACAAAAATAAAGTTATATCAAGTTAATGTATAATAATAATTCTGCATAATAAATAAATAAAAAAATGATGCAGGATTCTAAATTTCTATAATGATAAATTACTTTATAGAACCTATTTAAATTAAACTAATTAATTTAATACTTTTCAAACAAACACAAAATAGTTTAAATAATAAGTATTTTAATAACTTGGAGCTTAAAAATATAGTAACCGAAACAGTGACGGTGCTAGAGTTTGCGAGGACTTGGGCAAAATAAATGTTGGGTCTTATAATTTATATTAATAAAATATTTTAAGTTCAGTTAAATTAGAACCGCGGGGCCTTAATTATAATTTAAGGCACGGGGCCTTGGGCAACTGCCCCTATTGCCCACCCCCTTGCGCCGTCCCTGAACCGAAATAACAAAATATTTATCAGCAACTTACATAAAAAAATTGCCATATTGTAAAATCATTATATTTCAGAAGAGTACCTTTATTTTAGTAATAAAATGTACTTGTTTATAATTTATGTTATAAATAGGTACACATAAATATTATTTAATAAATAAGCTAATAATAAAAACAAATATGAAAAAAAAGTAAAAATATATAAAATAAATTATAAATGATAGGCTACTCAAAACATCTTTATAGGTTAAGGTGACCAATTTATAATAAATTGTATAAATAATAAATAATATTAAATAAATCATAAGTAATTACTTGATTTCGCTTCCGGTTATTTGGATTTGGAGCATAACCAACAGTTCCTTTCATTTTCATTGTAGATAATATAGATTTATCTATTGCTGGCGTTTTTCTATAAGCATTAATCATTAACATATATATTTTTTATCGATAAATAAAAGATGAATGAGTGAGCTTATACATTTTTTATTTTTTACTTATACTATACTATGATAATTATATAAGAGTAAATAAAACATATTTAATGAGTATTTATATCAATAACATAAATTCATACATTTGGAAATAATATACCTGTAAATGTTTCTGAGAAATTTTTCTGGTAACTCAGATGCTAAAGGTCCATCGCAAGGAAGTAAAGGAATATTAGAATAATCAGCTAGTTCATCTGTTACACTGATTGGACCACAAGGAAGTGGTTCCATTGGTTGGGCAAATATTGTATCCCTTGCCAAAGTATTAAATCGAGAAGAGGCTGTAGTAAATAAATGTAATGTGCTTACATTATCACCAATTATAATAGCTTGGCTTGAAGGAGAGACATCCATAGAAAGAGCAATGGCTCCTTCCTCAACACCACTCATCTGATTTAAAATTCAACATGAATACTAATTGGTTATTATGATACAATAAGAAAACTATTAAAAATCTAATTAAAACTTTATTAAACCTGATAAAGATTCATATCTTGTTCAGACAAAGCAACAGTATCCACAAGTTGGCATTGTCCACTAGTAGATACAACTGCTATACGTGATGAATATGAAGTCATGAATCTCAATAAAAATGGTTCAATTATCATTTGAATGGATGAAACTGATCTCATCATTCTTAAATCATGAACAACTAAAAACTGATCGAGTATCATAGATCCATGCCTAATATTGCATATAAAAAAATTAATTGAAAAACATTAAAAAATAATAAAAGAATTAACTTCTTCTTACGTGTTTGAAAATCCACAACTAACTAATAAATTATCATGAACATCAAAATCTGATAAACTACCAGTATGTGCATCAACTGTATAAATAATTTTTGATATATTTCTAGGATCTCTAAGTTTAATCACTCCGGTAGGATCTCCACAACAAACCGTTCTATTAGCATTTTGACGTAATATAGCACAACCATTTTCTCCAGCATTTATTATGGTTGTTTCTTTACATAAATTCAAATTGAATTCAATTAATTTGTCCTGGTGACCACCCATTAATATAGTATCTTGAGAACGCCCAAGTTGAGTTATACATTGCATTTCGTTTAAATTTTCTGAACTAAAAATATAATAGATTTGAATATAAATTAAGATTAATATGACTAATACATCTAAATATTTAATTCTGCTATTTAAAGTTCTAACATCTGACACTAAAAAGCTTCCTTCCTCATATTATATTCATATCATATTAATACTTCCCTTAATATATTAGCTTATACATTTACTATAGATCAGTGTTTTCCAACTAGTGTTCTATAGAATACAAAGAAAAAAATAAAATGATAAACACAGTGTTTGATTTTAACTATAAAATAGAACTAATCCACTTTTTGTTAGGAGGATATGTGTCCAAAAGCCCAATCAAATTGTACAAAAAATATATCAGTGTTAACATAATAATGGAAAAAAACAAGGGTTCCACTAAATTTTTAAGTTTCTACAAAGATTCTGTAAATGAAGTTGGGAAAATCTGCTATGCAACATACATTTTCATACTTTTTTTTTTTTTAATATATTATATTTTATAAAAGTGTAAAATATTAAAAAAAAAATAATAATATAAATAAAATAAAATAAAAAATATTTAATCCTTAATCATAGAAAAAAAAACACTAGAAACCTTAATTTATTCTATTTTTAATATAGCCTAAATAAATTTTTAATTCATCAATATTTATTAAATTGATTGAATTAATATTTATGAATATAATAATAATTACCTGTGAGTAAAAATTGGTAAACCTCTCCGCATTTGACATCGAAGAGTTGTTGGTGTAAGAACCAACAAAGTAGAATCAGTAGTTAGAAGAGAACGAATCTCTTCATCAGAATGAACTCTAAACATTGTGTACTTCTGCATATCTGCACTATAATATGATGATACATAACCCTATATAAGAAATATAGATATTAGAATTTAACTAATAAAACTTAAACGTAAAAAAAAAAAAAAATTATTTTGTAGTATTGCATGTCGTCACTTACAAGTTGATTTCCCACCCAAAGTAAATTTTCATGAGTATCAAAACATGTCGCTGTAATACCAAATTGACTGCAGTTATCCGTTAATATTGTTTGTGTTTCTTCATATTCAGATCTAATCATTTGTCCATTAATTTCGTCCGAATACAGATTAGTATCTATTACTTCTGGATAATCTTCTTCAACATAGTTTCCGTACACTAAATATCAAATAGTTATTAACAGTTTATAATGGAATTATAGTGACTAATAATTTTATCATTATTTATGTCAATAATGATGAGAAAAACTTGTAACTAAATAACAATGTTTGGATAGTATTTAAGAAAGAATTTGTGAGGTATAAAGATTATTTTAAATGAACAAATCGGATTATGGTAAATTAATAAATGAAAATATGCAATATGATTAAAATTATGCATTGATAACTGACAAAAAAAACCTTTTCATATAATGACTTTAAAAATAAGTATTTATAATACATAAAATAAATAAATATGGAGTGAACTCTTTTAGATTCATTTTATTTCATAAGTTTAATAAATATAATTTTTAAATCATAAACATTTAAGATTTTAAAATTTCAATTGATAAACCAGAATTTTTAATAAAATTATAATATAAAATACTAGTATGTATATAAAAATAATATAAAGTACAATTGTCAATTGAACAACGTTTTTCTAGTAACAATCACTTGATTGGAACAAAATAATTTGGAGTAAGAAAAATATATGTATTTAAACCTTTATAGCAATCTAAAGTTTTTTACTTTATTAGGTTAGTTAAGAGTTACCCCCTATGAGTTAAATTCATTATCAAATATTTAAAAATAGTAATCAAAAGTAAATATAATAAAATTTGTAAAAAATACTTTACTATAATTTTTTTAACGTAATACTCAATAAATCATTATAAAAGTTATTAGTAATTAATGTTATAAGAACAATAAAAGGATTAATGGTTGAGAAAATATTGTAAAACAATACTTTTTAATTGAAGTCAAACCCTAATTGGTATTTATCAAAATTATGATTTAATATAAATGTAAAGTTATTACTTACTAATCATGTCTGAAGATTCATAGGAATTTATTACTGGCCTTGTAAATTCCATATTCAATTAATATTTACCTAATTACTTAAATTTTACATACATAATTCTATAAATACATTTTTAAAGCGTACAAGTACATGGTTTAAGAGTTAACATATCAAAAACTAGTTTTATAGTAATATTAATACATTTTAAAAGCTTTAAGTTTCAGTATTCCAAGATTAAGTAAAATCATTTAAATGACGAATAAATGATTATTATTATGATTATCGAATAGACAAACGAAATAAATTTTGATAATTACTTATAGAATAGAGAAAATAAAATTCGAATATAAGTAATGATCCCAAACAAAAAGAAAATAATATATGTTGTCTGTACAAAGCTTTGTAGTGTCAATTTTACAGTTGTGATGCTATCATTATTCAGACGCGGAATTTCCGTTATCACACGTAACACTTTTGTTTACATTTAGCATGTCTAGCAAAGAATGATTTAGAAATTGTGAAAGCACTGGTAACCTCTTCTAAACCAAGTACCATATACCAATTTCTAAAATAAATTTATATAATATATCAATGAATAATACATAAAAATATATTATGTACTTATAATAACAATTTAAGGACTACCATTTACTTCCACATATAAATACAATTAATTAGTACAAGAAAATAAAAATATGTTTTTAATTGTTATACTACTTGCATAACTTTATAAAAACTATATATATATATATAAAGTTGTAAGTAAAAAAATAAATATTTAACTCAAAATAAGTTTATTTCAAATGAAAATACAATAATTTAAGTAACTTGTGTTTAACACCAATTTACCTAATAAAAGTATTTTTATTTTTTTCATTAAGAATTTATAATCAAAATCTCAATTGATTTTAAGCATTAGGGCAGCATGTCATTGAGCAAGGGTGATAAATTTTCCTAATATAACATACAAATTATTACTTGATTTTTAATATATATATAAACTTTTATTAATATAAATATATTTATTTACTCTACAGAAGGAAATTTTGTTTATGAAAATAACATTGCAAAAGTATTTATAAATAAATATCCTTGATGTGATTTTTTATGTACACTTGATGCCAATTCATTTGTATTCAGTTTGTAATTTGCAACTTAAAATACAGTACAATGCACTATTTCATTCATGCATTAGTTAGTTTAGTTTAATAAAATTAATCATCACAAATAGTAAATGCCTTGAATAAGTTTATAAAAAGTTAAAAAAACACCCAATGTCTATTTCTAAAACTGTCATTGTGGCTGTACTATATATTATTATAAATTATGAACTAATAAATGGTTTCATTTTTTCATGTGCTACATATTTGCAATCCCTATTATAGATTATGATATGTATAACTCAAAATATCCTTTAGAAACAATTTTTACTAAACATTATAATTTATGAGTGAAATAGCTAAATTAAAAATCATATAGTAAGGATTGTTAATAAAAATTAAAAATGGTTAATATTTGTAAATTAACATATAAATAAATAAATAGTTTATGTATATAAATACATAAATAAATAAATAAATGCTTAGCCTGAGGAATCATTATATTTTAAAAATATGATGGGTTTAGACTTAAAAATTCATGTTCAGGTATATACATACAATAAAATCATGACTGATAATTAAAAATTTAAGGAATACATTAAAAAAATTGATTGTTTTACATAAAAATAATTAATTTTAATAATATTAAAAAAATAAAAATATAATATTCCAGACTAAATATTTATTTATTTATATAAATTATTTGTATATTTATTTATAAATTAGGATTATTGATCAAGACATTTTATTCTGGATGTTTATAATCAAAAAATATGTCATTTATTCTTTATTACACTTTAATTAAAATTGGCTACCATCCAATATACTAAAAATAGAATGGTTATAACTTATAAGAATAACTATTGATACAATCGTGATGTATGCAATCAATTAACTATACATTTTTAAAAAGGCTTTGCATTTTTACTTTTTAACTGATTTGTAATGTACAATTTTGAATAAGTATAACTAATATACTGAAAAAATGAATATTCAATAAGAAAATTGTGTAAAAACACATTATTGTTATCCATTTTTCCTCAAACCCACTTTAAATATTTCTACTCTTTTAAATCAAAATAAATAGATAATGATTAAATGACATTTATGCATAAAAGTTTAACCTCAACTCTGAAAATTCAACAATTATTAACATGCAATAATTTGATTTATGATTACAATGCTAAGAAATATCTTTCCAGTGTAAAATAATAGTAAACAATTTAAAAGTTATTATAACTCAATTATTCAAAATTCTTGAAAATTAAAAAAAAGTATTTTGATATTTCATCATGATTATTTATATAAATCAAACAGTTCCATGAATTATTTTTTATTCCTATTTTGAATTTGAGTTTTGTGGTTTAAAAATACATAATTTATATACATTGTACTATAAAAATATAATTGAAAACAGAAAAAATATTATATATAAAAAAACACAAATAATGAATTGAACTTTTTACCAATAAAATTAAATATGCAATTAGAAATATATGACAAAATTAAAGTAACACAGTGTTAAGAATATATCATATACTTAAGCCTTCACATTGATTTCATGATAACTTTAGTATAAACATAACCCAAATAATAGAGCCTATCCTAACTAAACAGTTGTTCAGTAGCTCGTTCCAAATCCCAATTAAAAGTAGATAATGCTCCGCGTGCTTGATCACTTTCTATTCCCATATCTTTGAGACGCTGAATTTTTGAATCAAAATCTGTATTTTTATTGGGACCTAAAACAATATTTAAATCTAAAGTTATTTAAATGATTAAAATAAATTAATAATGTTTTCTGAAATTATAGTTCATTTTCCTATGTAGTAATTTTATAAAACTTCTGGAAATTAATCTATATTATTTTTTACTTGATTATTTGGTATGATATACATTTTATATTTCTAATCAATTTCAATAACATGGTATACAGTCAAGCTTATCATGTATAGACATGACTGGTGGAACCATTTTATCATAATATTTATTTGTATATTGTACAAGTTGGTGAGAATACAATAAAATAAACATTATAAAAAAGGCATGTTTTATATTTTAAATATTTATTTAATACATAGGTACTAAAATACTATTATAATTTTCTTTAGTGGAGGTATCTAATAACCATATAAATTATAATTGATAACAAAGATCTTTACTGCATTTACTTCATACAATTTTAGTAAATACTGAATAGATTTTATTCTGGTTTTAACAATTGCAGTGTTTCACAAATATGATGAATATTATAATTTGTGGATACTTAATTTTAATGTAAAAAAAAAAAAAATCTTAGCCAACGGGTGTACATATTATGATAAAAAGCATAGTTTTATTTTTGCCATTGTTGGTTATAACAACATAGTCAATGGGTGCTTAGGGTTTATATATTATTAGGGTAGAATGTAATTATATTTGTTAGAACTACCTTCAAAAATACATAACATTTGTTTATACATAATTTTAATAAATAATTAAAAATAGGTATCATAACAATTCTCATAAAAATCACATCTATAATTTTGTTATGATTTCTACCTAAAATATTAAAAAAGTTTATTACTCTGGCTTTTGCTAAGGATTAGTTAAAAAAAAAAACAACCAAATCATCTACTGAAAATATCAATCTCCCTCCCTAAGATAAGCATTGAATATTTTGTCTGAAAAACAAAGCAACTGAAACCCACAATTTGGAATAAATGTCAAAATTGGTTTTTTTTAACTAACTTGTTTTAAAGAATGTAAATTAATTTTGATAATACCTCCAGCATAAACGTTAGTCCAATAACTAGCAGTTTTAGCAAATATTTCTGGATATTCTTTATATTGTTTTGCAACAACTGCATCTTGTGGATCATCAGGTTCTGCAGCAGCCATAAGTGCTTGGAGAGACAATAAAACTGTACGTAAAGTCATAGCAGCAGCCCTAATAAAGTTCCATATAATTAATAATGTAAATACATAAGTTAAAATTTTTTACAAAGTAACTAATCTAGTCGTAAAGTTGACTAGATTTTACTTTTAAATTATGTTATATATTATTTAATATAAATATAATATTAATAATTAAGAACCAAATATAAATTTATATCTTGGCACACATTTCTATTTTAAGATACAAAACGATAAATCATATAGAAAACAATTAATTATGTATTTCATTAATTTTAAATTTAATTGTCATTTAATATGATCACCGCCATATCATTAATTGATATCATAACTCAATACAGATTATTATAAAACTTTTATAGTTAAGACTAACAAATAATAAATGTATTAAGTATAATAAAAAAAATTAATAAAATATTTTAATTGCAAAAACAGTATTAAAAAAAAAAAAATTGCCAACAATTTTATTATAAGTTTATTTATGTTATAGAATAAAGTTTAAGTATTAATTATTATTATTATTAATATTATACAATTTGAAATACATTTTATGTTACTATCATATTGTAAAGTTTTAAAAACATGAATTTTCAGTATATATATATTTTGATTTTTAAGAACAATGTACATAAAAAAATTATAGATATTAATGAATGATTAAATAAATATATTAAAATGATAGCATAAAATAGTAAAAAGTTTTAGTTACAACTTACCATTGGTCTTTTAAGATGTCTAAACAAATAGCTCCAGTAACAGATGATATATTTGGATGCCAAATTTTCGTCATAAAACGAACCTAAAACAAATATTAAGTATGCATACACCATATACTAATTAAATCAATAGTCTACTTACTTTAGGTGGATTAAAAGGATAAGTCTCTGGCACTTTAATTTCCAAAAAAAATTTTCCACCTTCATATGGTGTATCAGGTGGACCAGCAATTTCACCTTTTAATTCAGTGTAGCTATCTCCAACTAAGTCTACTTTTATTGAGCATTTTGCAAGCTAAGTATAAAATTAAACATTTACACAAAAAGTGATTTAAGTTTTAGAGACAAAATTAATGTGATTTAAATAATGAAATGAAATTTTACTTTAATTGTTCCTATAAAATTTTTAATAAATTATTACCTCTTCACTTTTAATGACTTCTTTAAATTCCCTTTTGATTCTCTGCGTCGCAATGTTATTCATAATTATATTTTATATATATATATATTTTTTTTTCTTTTGACACTTATTAAGTCGTACAAAGATGATTAAAATATAGATAAATATATAATTGTGGTACAGGAAATTCCGCAGTTATAAAATGACACAATGTTCACGAACGTACGATAACCTAAATTTTAAGCGCGTTATACGAAAAAGATTTTTGTAAACATTAGACTTGAGGTGCTGTGATAAATTTATGTTTTTGAGTTGCCATGAAGATATTGAAATGCTTTGTTGAACTAAATAGATAAATAAAGTTCCAACTCTAACTAGTCTCTAAGGTACCTGTGAAGTTTGTTGAAAACGTATATTGATAACAACACAACATGGCACATTTGATAAAGATTACCAAAATGGTGTAAAAAAGCGTAATTCGTCAACTAGTTCCACGTTCATATTTATCGAATTTATATATTTTTTAACGATCATTCAAAATTTTTTTATTCGTGATATCGATAAATTTCATATTTTTAAATTATGATAAATAAGTAATTTGATTCATATTTCAAATCATTTCCCTCGTTTTTATCCAAATAGACATCGTCTTCAGTTAAATTTGTATTTTATTTTAATATTTGAAAATAAGCTTTTTTCGTATAGAATCGTATAGTTTTTTACTCACCATTCTTCAAATAATTTAAAATAAGAAAAATATTTATTACTTTTAAATGTTGTCTACGACTCAACGAATTATATGATTGTATTGGATCTTAAAAAATATAATTAAATTACTCATTATAAAATAATTAAGTAACACATAAAGAATGATTTTTAATTCATTAAATTTAAATTTTTTTTTATGAGTGTAACCAGTGCTTGAAATGGTAAATTTTCCGAAACGGAAATATTTTTTTTTTTGTACATACCATAGAATTAGAGGCTTTAACCCACCAAAATTATAATTTCCCCTTCCTGAAATACTAAGACTTTTTTAATACATAAGTTGTACCAACTATTTTATACTGTTTTTTAGTTAAAATTACATTTTGGCAAATCATTTTTTTTTATCTCTAATGCTATGTGGAGTGCTATATCCACAGACGTTTTATCAGAGTGTAAAATATTTCCCATATTCATACCATTTATTATTTCTATTATCTATTTCATTTGGTAAATCAACAAATCAAGGCCTTCGAGTTTTTACAATTTTAAAAATAATTCTAAAAAAAACTATTTCAGTAGTAGTGATCTTTGATTTCGAAACTTTTTTCAATTGGTTTTTCTTTTGATTGTGAATGTCATTCTAATGCTTTAAGATGAGCGTCAGATTTTTTGTGTTCAAATATTTTTTTTCTCAAACTAGACATTTAAGTTTCTTTTGACTTTCCATTTGAAATTATAGAACAAGGTTTGGAAAAGTGAAGAGTTATGTCAACAACAGATAATGCTAAATTTGTTATATTTTTACAAATCAAACAACCATGCTATATTTTTAACTTTTAAAATTCACATACTTATTGTGTAAATAAAGCTAAAATACTCTATTGGCGGACGGCGATTATCGTATAGATAAGCAATAAATATACCTATGCATCGCGGTCGTTTGACGTTTATTAAATATTTTACAATGAACAATTCTGCAAAATGTTTAAATCTTACTAAAATATGGTAGGTACAGTAAAAAGTTGCTTGAACCGAAACGGTAAACGTATATTTTTTATGAACCAAAACGCTAAAAAAATGTTGTAGTGAACCGGAACTGTTTTCCGGTCCATTTCGAGCCTTGGGCGCAACTAGGATCTTGAGGCCCCGATGATAAGATAAGTTTGGAGCCCAATAACTATTTAAGCGTTGGAAAATTTTTTTTTTCAATAAAGGCTATCTACTTACTTATAATTAAATACGCTACTCAATTATTCTGCGTTAAAAGTAACTTACAAGCTAACGTCTACAATGAAGCCCTCTTTGAGCCTTGGGGCCCAGATGTTAGACAATGTCATCCACCCCGGTTGTTGCGTCACTGTGTGGAATACAGTTTAAGTAAAACGGTTGAGATAATTAGACTAATTCATCAAAAGTCAACAGTTTTGTCAGTAATATGTAGAACCCTATAAGCATCTCAATATTTTATTGTATCAAAAATTAATCTAAAAACGCATAAATATTCAAAGGTTTGATTTTTTAATCATAATAATTTTTCCAGTGTAAATTAAAACTGAAATTAAACAATATTTCAATTTTGGTTAATCACACGCTCTATTTTCTGATATTATTAAATTCAGATAAATCAAAACATTTAGAAACAATGTTATGCCGAAAATAAGCAACATTTGAGCGACATTAATTCTGTGTGGTGGTTTCAATGACTGACTGAATAAGGAATAATTATAATTCATTGATTGCAATTTATTATTAATAATATAATTAATAAACCATATTTAATAATATAATAATTTATTATATTATTAAATATGACATATAGAGCTAGATTTAAACGCAAGCTACATAGACTGCAGCATATGGTCCACACTACAACAGGGTCCTCACCACACACTTGACAACTTCTTCTTCTCCTTCGCCTTTCTCTCGACTATTCGGGATCAGCCACCCTAGTCCTAAAACTCCATTCGTCTTGATTTTCTACATCCTCTATGCATACACCAACAGCTCATCAACATGTCATATAATTCTCAATCGTATCCAACCATCTCTTTTTTGGTCTTCTGCTTCCTCTTTTTCCTTCAATATTAATTTTGATAATCACTCTTACTGCTTTAATTTCTTCTCGCCTCATCACATACCCAAACCATCTTAGTCTATTTTCTCTCATTTTGTTCGCCATAGACGCTACACCAATACTTCTTCATCTTCTTCTTCGTCTGGCTTTATCTATTCTATAAGAGTTTTTGCCGCTATCACAACTTCACGCCACTTCTCTCGATCATGAATTATATTTCTTCAATCATCTATTCCTATCCTTTTTAGATTTTCCTTGACCACATCCATACATCTTTTACTCAGACGTCTTCGTGGTCTCTTATCCGTTGGATTCCAAGATATTACTGTTTTGATTATCTTATTATCACTTCAACGCATAATGTGCCTAAACCACTGGATCCTCTGGCCTCTTATGTAATATTTAATTGGAGTAATTTTTGTTTCTTCTCTTAGTTCTTTGTTAAACTTTCTCCTCCACATACCAGTGTTCGTGTCTAATTTGGGTCCACATATCACACCAATACTACCTCTCACATACTCACCCCTTATTCTATATTCTCTTGTCACTCCACTTACCCATCTAAGCCTTCTCCTTTCCGCAACACTCATACTCTGTTTTGTATTACTGTCAACCGCCCAACACTTTGAACCATATACCTAGCATAGTTGGTCTCACTACACTCTAGTAAAATTTACCGTTCAGCTTCATTGGAATTCTTAGGCATGCGCACATGGGCAGCAAGGTGTGCTCTTGCTGCCCCTGGACGGTTTGAATATATTTGTAAGGGCCGAACTGGTCCAAGCTGGGCCGCCACACCGATAATGCTCAATACAAAATAAGTTGGTTATCCAAAAGATACATTGCTACCAAGCTAATTTTTTCTGTGTTCAAACTTTAAATAGGCTTTGAAGCTTAAATTTGAGCTTAAAAATGTTAACTTAGTACTCATGTATGGGCCGATAAAAATATTCGCTGCTCCCGACTTTAAACTCTGCGCAAGCCTATGTTGAAATTCTCTTATTGCATAAAACGCCCGACGCTCCTTTTCATTTCATCGAACCGCACTTAATTATATGATTTACATCCATACTCTACAAAACTAAAAAAAAAATTTTATTTTTTCACTTATGAATTCTAAATTCAATTTTTTTAAAAAAAACCTGGAATTCATTGGAATTGTGATTATCATTTTTTTTTTTTTTTTATTAGCTTCAAATATAAAACTATTACAGCTCAACGATTGTTATAAAGTACTTAAGATTAAATACATAATAGTGACATTAAGATAAACAGAAATAATTATTGGTGAATATGACATAATTGGTAATTAGGTTAATGATATAGGAAATAAATGAACTATGGAATGGATTGCTTTTGCAGTACGGCTGTAAAGAAGTAAATAAGGGGATTAATTAGTGAAGAAAGATCTGAAATAAAATTGGAAAAAATGTGATTGTTAGTGGAATTATTTAATAATGGAGTATTATTATGATCGGCGACGAAAACGTATGAGACTTTGAGAGGAAGAAATTATGGTTTTAGAACGCTAGACGTGAGTACAGTGTTCGGATTTCATCGAATTGAATGAGTAAATTTGCGATGTTTGAGTAGTGCTTTATATTTTAAACATCATTTTTAGTTTGAGGTATGGTCATCCATGCAAAGAGCACACGTAGCTGGGCTGCTTTTTTCGTTGGCGCAAGTTTCTGAAGAGTGACCCTCCACATTAAACACAGCGTGAGGGATGGTGGCAATATTTAGCGGTATGTCCGTAGGTCTGACAATTCTTACATTGAGGCGGATCATTCTTAGTGCTATATGGTAATTCAATTTTGATTTTTGTATGCAAAATTGATGATAGACTTAAAACTTCTTTAATATTAGTATAAGATTTAAGGTCTTCGAAAAAGAGTGGAAGTGGGCATCCGTTTTTAGTGACATTTACGACACGGGTAGCGAAGTGAAATAACTGAAATAACTGAAAGAAATCAACTATATAAAAAAAATTAAAAAAAATTATAATAATAATTAATTTATAAGACATTGTATAAACTGTATTATATTAAAACAATGTATTATATGAAAATCTTGAATTAACATAATAACATTTTAGATACATTACATTTTTTTACGTTAACTTGACTTACAGTAAAACAATCAATCCAATTAAATTTATGCTAATTAACTTTATTTTAGGAAATCAAATTCTTTACCAATTGTTTATAAGATATTTTGTCGTATCATCAACCATTATTTTAATATATTTAAATAACTGTAAAAAACCGTTTTTAAATAAATAAAATATTCGATTTTTTATCATTATTCTTGGGAAATAATAAATTTATGAGAAATTGTATAAATATGTTTTTTAATAAAAATATAAATATTTATATTATATGTTTTATACATTTTTAAGATAAATGTAATATTTTTTTGAGTATAGTCAAAAAATGACAAAACAACCCTTTTTCACTAATATTCAACCCTCTTGGGGCACGTGAAAGGGGTGAGTACTCATAACTAAATTTAATCCGAATTACTTTCTTATAGTAATGAACAAAATGAGGGGGTGAGAAATCAAAAATATTAAAAAAAAATGTCTTCATCTATAGCCAAGGACCCTAGTACGTATGTTTGTGTTGAACGTAACGACCGGACTGCTCGTTATCATTATTATAATATTTTCATGGGCTATGACGTCATGGATTTTACTACAATTTTTTTTCCTGAGTCATTTATTAAATGGAGCGTACCTTATATTTTTCTATACCTGATTATATGATATCTGTGACTATATTATTAATCTGTTATCAATAATCATTAAAGTTGCGCCTGTCAATAGTCTTTACACTTTTCGATTTTCTAATTTTAATAAAATATTCTTAACATTAATTCATTAATAAATTAAATTTGACTATATTTTGATCAGTGGTTACTATTACTCATTATGGACCTGATTCAATCTGTTAAATTGTATATAGTTAAAATGACAGAAGATTGTGGTCCTGGAATGAAAGTACTACTTATGGATAAAACAACTGTAAGCATATTGTACATACAAATGTAAACTAAAATTGTTTTTATTTTTACTTTCGTAGAACACTCATGTACAATTTATGGAGTAAAAAATAATTATTTTATTAATAATCCATTTGAAATAAATTAGAGTTAAATTAAAATTGTAGAACAATTATAGCTAAAGGTATTTACTACCTACATATTATTAAATTATACTTTTCATGAAATTCGTATTATTATAATATTATATATATTATATTCAATTATATTTGACTTCACATATTTTTATTTATGATGAAAAATATGATATTATGTTAAATATTAAATATTTATGATACTTTTCTCAAATAGATAATTCATATTCAAATATAAGGCTATGTAAGTTTTTTAAAGTTAAATATCATATACAATTTTCAACGTATCTTTCTTTAAACCAATTATTAAATTTTAACTTACAATTATTTATAGTTAGTATAATAAAAATGTTATTTATTTTAGACTAGTATAGTGAGTGCGGTTTTTAGCCAATCTGAAATACTTCAGAAAGAAGTATATTTATTTGAACAACTAACTCCTAATAGTAGTTCAGACAACATGTATCATATGAAATGTATAACATTTCTACGGCCAACTAAAGAAAACATTTCTTTACTATGCAAAGAATTACGTAATCCTAGATATGGTTATTATTATATATGTAAGTATAATATGTTTTTATATTTAATATTTGTTTTATAAATTTATATATTTTTCCTTATTTTTTGTATTTTCAGTAAATAAAAACAACTATTTGCTTATAATACATTTATTTTATAGAAAACTTTACTATTTTCAGATTTTAGTAATATAATTTCAAAAACTGATATCAAAACAATTGCTGAAAGTGATATTCAAGAAGTTGTTCGTGAAGTACAAGAATATTATGCTGATTACTTGGCAATATCTCCTCATCTTTTTTCATTCAATATTCCATCTTGTGGGCAATGTAAGAAAATTAATTTTTTAATTAGTTTTACATTTTAGCTATATATTATTTTTATATAGGTTTGTCTTGGGATCCACTCCAGCTTACACGTTGTACACAGGGCATTATTTCTGTTTTATTATCATTAAAAAAATGTCCATTAATAAGATTTCAAGCATCTTCAAAAATGAGTAAACAACTTGCTGAAAAAGTTAAAGTAAATAAAATATAAATGTTTTTTTTTTTTTGTACTGTTATTTATGATTATTTATGTTACCTATTATTAAGTTTTTTAGTCAAAATAATATTTTTAATCATAAAAATTAAAGTTCTAGCTGTTTAAAAATATTTATATATTTATATCTAAAAAATTTTTATTATTGTTAGATATAGCTGTTATATAAAACTATAATTTAATAATAATAATGAACAATTTAAATTTTAAATTATAATTATTTGTGTTCATTTGTAAAAACAAAATATACCCTAATACAGTTAATATTATATATAATATAATAATAATAATAATAATCTTTGTATATAATGAACATAATATAACTTATTTTCAGGACATATTTTCAAAAGAAGAAAATCTTTTCAATTTAAAGCAGGGAGACATTCAGCCTCAGTTACTCATACTTGATCGAAGAGAGGATCCAGTTACTCCACTGTTAATACCGGTAAGATTAATATGATTAAATAATTACTTCTTAACGAATTCTTAACGTTGCTAACAATAGAAAATAGTTTAATTTTAAGTAATTGTATTCTGAGGAAATTGATAGGATATTACTTTAAATTGTTCTGGTCCGACTTCTAAGTTATTATAAAATATTTAATTAAATTATGATATTTTATTATATTTTTATATAAAGTTAATAGGATAATTTTTACAAGGAATGTTATTCTGTCTTTACATTTATAAGTATTTTAGAATGAACAATTTAACTTAATATTCTTTAATTTTTGGATTTAACAGTGGTCTTATCAGGCTATGGTTCACGAGCTGCTAACTATAAATAATAATCAAGTAGATTTAAGCCATATTGAAGACATAAAACCAGATCTTCAAAAACTATTACTGTGTGCTGAACAAGATGATTTATACAAACAAGTAAATGTTCAAATTTTATACTTTAAAACTAATTAAGTTAAATAAAATTATGTTTGTATATTTAAAAAAATTTTTTAGAATATATACAAAAATTTTGGTGAAATTGGTGAGATTATGAAATCTTTAATTGATGATTTTAAGTCTAAAGCAAAGGATCACAAAAAACTTGATACAATATCAGATATGAAAGCTTTTGTTGAAAACTATCCCCAATTTAAAGTATCCATCAATACTTTATAAGTTAATAATTAAATGTTATTGGATTTAAACTTGATATGATTATTTTATTTTTTATAGAAAATGTCAGGTACAGTTGCCAAACATGTAGTAATTATGGAACAACTATCAAATTATGTTTCAAAAAAAAATCTCTTAGAAGTATCTGAACTTCAACAACAAATTGCTTGTGATATCCAATCTTCTCAACATACTCAGGTAAACATCACATTATGTGATATTATATTTTAGTAATGTCTGCACTGATATATCAATTTAATTAGTATATGTAATAAAAGTAGAATCTACTTTTTAAAGACGTTTGTATAAATTAAATGTTTCTTTTATTTGTTATTAGTGTTAAAATATAACATGAACAATTATTTCTATATTACTGAATTAATTTAACTCATGATTACTTTATGAAGTAATATTTGATTATTTTTATTTTAACCCAATTAATAATTATTCACTTAAAAATAACTGGTATTCGAAATATTGGAAATATTAATAAAACATATTGTATCTATAATTTTAACAGAACTGTTTTCAATATGAAAAAATAGGTAGATAACACGAAAATTAAATATATCTAAAGTATTCCAACTAGGAAACATGACTAAATGAAAATTGGTCTTGAGTTTGCAATCAGTTGTAATCTGATTCCTATAGTTATGTTTTAGTTTTTAATATTAAATGATTTCTTTTATTAATATTCAGCTTTATTTAGTAATTTATTTTTGTATATATTTAATTTATGTTCAGTTTCCAACATATTTAAGTAACAATGTAAACATATACGAAAATCCTTTAATTAGATATATAGGCCTTCTGTATCTATATTCATATCCCTACTTAAGCAGATAACAATGTAAACGTACGTGGATATTTGATTTATAATAAGGGGCTTAACACGTGTATGTCAAGCATTAATTATATCTAATTGTTTAGTTCATGCATGTGGCCAACATCTAATTTTTTTTCGGATACCAATAATAATGGACAAAATAAAAAATTAATTAAAAAAATTATTTAATATTAATGTCATATTGTAACTATATTTGGTTCTTAAACAATTTTGTATTTGGTATACATTATTATGCATTATTTTCTGATAAACTGCAATTGATTATTGTGTGTATAAAAATATAAAAATATGAAAAAAAAAATGTTTTTCATAAAATGTTTCTGTCACTCGCGTGGTAAACTTTTCATTATATTTGACCCACTTGATACTTTGAGTTTGACGTGCCCAGTTTTTTCTTTTAATTTCAAGGTATTTCTTTGTGAACTTAAAGATCTAACTTTCAACCAACACATATTTCCCTGGGTTCATTTTGACAAGTCCAGAAGCTAATCCCATGTATAGGGTATAAATACAGTTTTAGCATCTCTTATAATTTAGATATAACATTAATTTTTAACTAAGCGGTTGATGTATTTGTGCTCAACTGCTATTACTTATATCTCAGAAAATAAAATACATAATTTGACATTATTACAGTGTTAATTTTATTTTTTAAATAGTTTTTAAAAACTTTCTATATTTTCAACAATATCTTTTGAAAGTGAACAAATGACAAAGATGGATTTCATTGTTAATTTGTATGGATTTGAACTTAAATTTGACTCACTATTCTCTGTTATTGAATTATGAGATTCCATCTCTCATCATATGAAGTTACTACATGCATAAATTAAAATATTGTAGGTACCTACAATATATAACAGCGATGAAATTTACTAAAATGTTTGGCATGAGATAATATAAACCTTTTAATAGGATTCATCTCTTTATCAATTGGCTACACTAAGATATGTTGAATTGCCACAAAAAGGACATTTTTACAAAAATTAGTTCTAAAAGCATAAAACATATTAGGTTTTAATATATATATATATATAATTATAAAATTATTATAATATTTTTTTTAAAAATATCTTATCAGTGTTTAATAATTTTTTTTTTTTTATTTATTGAAGAAATCTACAATCTATACATATAATTTTTTTGTATAATAAGTAGGTTTGATAAGTGACAGAAAAAAAAAAAAATAAAACAGATAACATGATTCATGAGATTAGGGAGGATACCCAGTGGTAACACCCTATAGTTTAATAATTATAAAAAAAAATAATGTCCATCACCCAATAACACTAAATTTATCAAAATATTTATACTCACTTAAGTTAATAATAATTTAAAACAGGACTGCATTGTTATATTACTACTATATGTTTTTAAAGAAAATTAGAGAGCTCATTGAAAAGAATATACCTGAAGAAGAGGCAAGTAAACTTGTAATGCTGTATGCTATTAAATCTGTTAGCAAGGATAGTAATAGAGAATTAACAAGTTTAATACAGTTATTAAAATCAAAAAAAGTTGCTGAACATTGGATAGAGGTGATTATTTAATTAATTAAATAATAATTTTTATTTAAAAATCTTTATTTATGTTATAATTTTAGCTTGTGCATGATATAATGAAATACCAAAGTAAAACCATTTTAGATAATGAAAATACATTAAAAAATGCAAAACAAATAACAAAACGATTCTACAAGGTAAATAAATAGAAATTTTATTTATTATATAATCTAATTAATTCTAATATAACTAATAAATTATATCAGAAAAATATTATATAATATATATATTTATTAATTAATGTTATCATATTATGTTTTTTTATTTTAGTAAATAAAATAATTATTGATATATTTATTTTTATTTTTTGTAAGGATTTAAAAGGAGTTGACAATATATTTACGCAACATGTTCCATTAATAAAGGAATTAGTCGAAGATTTGATAAAATCAAAATTAAAAGAAGAACAATATCCATTCTTAAGTGAAATAAATCAACCAATGAAGAAGTATATAATTTAAACACTTTAATGTGGGAAATATAATTAATAAAGTATCAATATATATATATATATATATATCACTTATATATGGCAGTTAATCTATAAAATTATTTTTTAAATATCCATATTAAGTGATATTTTAATAAAAAAAAATATTTATTAATAAAATAAATATAAAACTAATTATACAACTCAATTTCTCTCCAATATAAAAAAAAACATTATTAAATAAAGTTTTGATAAATTAAGAACTTAAAAAAAGTTATCTAATGTGGCATATATAAAGTGGAATTTTCTAAAATCCTAGTATGAATATTTTTAAATATCTCAGGATTATATTTTGCACAGTTAAAAAAAAAAAGTTGCATCAATTCTTAATCTATAAATTTAATGAAATTATAAATGTTTTAATAAAATAATTTGTTTTTATAGGGTTCAAGATGTAATTGTTTTTGTAATTGGTGGTGTCACATATGAAGAATCAATGGCAATTTATAATCTAAATACAGCTAACCCACATGTTAGAATTATATTGGGTGGTAGTACGGTACACAATTCCTCTAGTTTTTTAAACGAAGTAAAATTGGCTACATTTGGAGTGATTAAGAATAGAACTGGATCTCGAAAATTATAATTTGTCCAAAGAGAATAAGTACACTAATATTACTTAAATTTAGTAACTACTATGTAAATGTTAATAAATTATTTATTTGTACTTTACCAATTACTTTCTTTATATCTTAATATATGTACATAAACTATAATAATGTGCAATGTATTGGAAATTATGTTTATTTTCATGTTAACTTATTTTTTATATGATTATTATTATTATTATTATTAATATTATTATTATTATTATTACTGAATATTAAACCTTTATTATTAATGTATTTTATGAATTATTTACTATAAAGGAAACTGAACATCTAAAAATGATTTTAAATTTTTTGTGAATACCTGACCAAATAACACAATAGTTATAAGTTACAAATTACAATTTTATTATATTTACTGCATTGATACTGTATGGTATAATATACACTAAACTCAGTTTGAATAAAAATTATATTTATTTTTCTAATTCTACAAAATTATAGTAATCTATTCTTGACATTACTTTTCTTTTGCAAGACATACAGCAAAATATCTTATGTCAACTATCCAGAATAAAAATATAATATGCATTAATTTACAATTTTTATTATACATATGAGTAATGATTTAATTCATATTTATATGGAATAAGTCGGTGTCATATCTAGAGGGATGACTTTCGGGTTCAAGCATATATCAAATATCAAATTTTATATTTTCCTATCACGGACATAAATCATTACTCGTTACTCATATCCATCATGCCCAATAACCATTTACCATAGGTATTCATTATCCATAATTTTATAATAATAATCACTAATGTTGATACAAGTTTTCTTTACACTCTGTGCTGTTTTATTCTTAAGGTGCCTTTACACGTAGAGTTTTGACCGCGCGATTGAATGGCGTGAGGGCTATCACGCGAGAAAGAATTTCCATCTGAACGATTGTACGAATTTAACGTCTTGCAGGATTGATAGTGTTCAAACTGGATCGGTTGCGCGTGGTTAATCATTTTATCGTTATTTTCATTTTTGTGACGGCGTGCCGTTTAATCACTGCCACCTGGTAATACCCGCTAAACCGATATTTAAAAAATTTAATTATTTAAGACAGTATTAAATATTAATATTAAAATATGCACTACCCATCCGAAAATTATTTTTAAAGTCATCTGGGTAATTTTCTCGTAGTTCCGATATTAATGGCAAATGACTAAATCGCCTCCGATGTTCCTTCACCCACACACTGCGAATTCGTTTCGATTTTAATCGATTTTGATCCATTATTGAAAATCCGACAAACGCAATAGTACGAATACGATTGTTTTCTCGTATTTTCATCATTTAAAACAAAAAAATGTTTAAATTTTAAAAAACTTCCACGTGATTGCAAAACTGTTGGAATTTAGAACACTCCACACGCCACGCTTTCACACGTTCAAAACGTCGGGAATACACTTTGGACGAACGTTATTGAGCAAATGACGAATGGAAAGAAGGAAAGTGCGTGGGAAAGAATTTTATAATTAAAATACTACAATTTGACTAGAGAGGATTGCGTGCAGTCAAGTCCTCACTCAAACCCGTGCGTTCCAGGAGTGAAAGAAAGATTCTACGTGTAAAGGCACCTTTAGTGTAAGGTCTATGGTTACCTCGTCGATTAAATTATTAACTCATGATTTAAGAAAACTATCCATGAAGATTACAGATATCTCTGTATCTCTGTTCTTCATGTACCCAATAAATCTTTAAATTGTATATGAAATACAGATATATATACCTATATATGTAAGTATATCTGTGGTATGAAATTAAAAATATGATTACCCATGATTAACCATTTGGTTACTATGATGATAAAAATATCACAGCTATAGAACTTATGTCGTATGCCGCAATCCGATATTCAGTGATAATTAGGGATAGACCAAACGTTCATCGCCCGTTGAAATTTTCAACGGGCGATGAACGTTTGGTCACAAAATCGAAAATTGACCCAAAACCCAACACGTTTGGGTACAAATAAACACAACGTTTGGACACATAAAATAAAAGGTATTTTATATTTTTACCTAGTAAATCAGAGAACATTTGAGTACACGTCATAAACACGTAATCTACAATAGTGGTATATTCATTTATTGCTCGATACTTTATCTCCAAACCGTTAATATTATCGCGATTACGAATTTATACGTTTTATTCACTTGTTATTTGTTATTGACTATAATCTTTATTACGCCTGCATCAATATAATATTACATATATATGCGAGTATATAATTTTAAAAATGTATACATTTCATCGAGACTTTAATAGTCAGTTTTATACAAGCCATCCAAATTGTTTTAATATAATCAATACGTTGATGACGATTCAAGAAGAAATTTATTTAAAGATATGCAACATTAAGAAAAATATAAAAAATATTATAAGAAAAGAGGATTCAGATAACGTTGAGTATATTTTAAAAAAGTACGAGTTTAAAGTTAAAAATAATATAAGGAATTATCTATATGACATCGGTCTACTTTTTGTCGGAAAAAAAATAAATATAGTTAAGTAAATAAACAATAAACATTTTTGAGAGATTAAGAGCCAACCTCCTCGCGGTGTCTCCTGAGTATTGCAAATAGGCTCTAAAAAATAAAATAAATAAATATAGATAAGAAAATGAAATTATTAAAATATAAAAAATGTGTACCTAAACGATGGTACCCAAACGTAGTATTAATTTAAAAATATTATGTACACAAACGTATTGATTTTTGGGGTCTGAAAAAAAAGTGTACCTAAACGTGTATTCCCAATCGTTCTCCCGAATTTCAGGTAAAAATATTGATCTGTGCCCAAACGTCTTACGGCCATTTCAACACTAATTTTGGTGAATCAAATTTTTCAACTCTGTTCAATTTAATGAGTTGAATCAGTGAATTAACACTCAATTCTTCCAACTCTTTGGTTTGATTCTGAATCAAATCTATGTCAATTTTCGAATACCGGAATTTGAAGTCTCAGATTGACTCACAAGTCCGTATTTCTTTGTTTACTTGAATCGTTATCGACCTATTGCAATCTCATATTATGCATAGATTCAGTGCTCGACTTGAGGGGGGACGGAGTACCCCAACTAATTTTCAGAAATTTTAGCATTCCCCTACTATTATTACGTCATAATTATAACGCTTAACAAGTTTTGGGGACGCTTTTTTTTTAAAAGTAAATTGAGCCCGCCTTATTTAATTTTGCCAAGTTAAGCACTGCATATATTAAATATACTAATAAATATAACATAATAAATATATTATGTATGTTTAATCTAAGTAGGTATTAAGCAACAAATTATGATTATCCATTTTCATGGATTTTTACTCGGAAATCATGTTTGAATAAACAATATGATTTATTACTTTATACCACATGAATACCTAATTATATAATACTTATACGTTTGAATTTGAAATCTGATATCAGTGGCGTAGCCAGGATTTTTAAATGGGGGGGGGGGCTAACTACTTTTTTGGATAAGTAAGGTAAGAGAGGATATGAGAATTCAGTCTTAACCCCCCCTCACCATCTACCACCAAGTTTCTAAACGTAATTCAAGCATTTTAGTATAGTTTTAAAAATATTTATTAATATATAATTTATAATAATAATAATAATAATAATTTTGGTTTCAGTATTCAGTCACTTGCTCCACTCTGACAGCTGCATCCTCTTAGGCGAATTTCTGGCAAATTCAGTTATTATTTCACTTTCATCGAATTGCTCTTTTTTATTTATATTAGCCATAGCTAACCTATTCAGTCTGTTTTCCGACATGGTGCTTCTTAAAAAAAATTTTAAGCGATTAAGTGCTGAAAACGTTCTTTCCGGAGTGAAAGAGATAACTGGTAACGTGGCGAATAATTGTAAAAGTATTTTAATGTTAGGTCGAAGATTGGTGTGATGATAGAGTGAATCAAGAGCAGAATTCGGTTTTGGAATAGTATTTTGACTCCATTGTTGCCTCCATATAAACAGGTTAGTTCTGATTGTAGATGAGGTATCATCATGGAGATCTTGGACATATATTTTAGCAGTTTTTATAATATTTTTATCGTCATACATATTTAAATTGGCCGGAATAAGTCCTTCAAGTGGCATAACATCAATAAGCCTTTGATTAAAACGAGCATCCATTGATTCTATTAAACAGTCAAGATACATTATACATATAAACACGGACCATGGGGGGGCTATAGCCCCCTTAGCCCCCCCCCTTGACTACGCCACTGTCTGATATCAACAATATCAAAAATATGCACGTTTCATAATACTCTAAATAATATGAGACTTTTTTTTATTTTACATATTTTCGCATATATTGATGTAAATACATATTTTTAAATATTTAACTAATACTTACATATTTTGTAAACATTCCACATTTTCATACTTATATATATGTAAACTATAGTTTTTTCATATTAAAATTATTATATTGGAATTCAATTAAAGAAAAATTAAAGAAGTTATTTCAAATCTTGATTCCAATTCTGCAATCGCTATTACACAAGTTCATGATATTATGTAAAATAATGAATTGAAAAATCATTTAGCAAATATTTCCACAAATTTTTGTTTCTTGGTTAAAGTAATAAAAAAAATTAGAAACATAATAATAATTGAAAGTCTTGCAATACTGGAAAATTCAGAAACCAAATTAAATGATGTTCAAAGATTCTATTAAAAAAAAACGGTGGAATATAAGGGATATAAGTTTTTAATAATATTGGATTTTTTTTTCCATCGTAAGTCAAAAAATAATAATCATATAAACTTATTGAACGATGTACCTATGTTATTTCATTGTATAAAAGTATTAATCGAAGAAACTTGAAACATTAACTGAATATTCTTATTTGCATTTTATATATATAATAATAATAATTCTAACTGTTAGGTATTATTAATTGATTATATCAAAGTCTGAGGGTTGTGTTTATATTTATGTTTATAAAAATGTCTTTAACCCATCTGATTACAAAATGATACAAAATGAAAAGTATCTATACTACAATATAATATAGTAGTATATATTAGTAATATCG